CTGACACGTTGAGGCTGGAACCTGCTTATCTGAACCTTGCACCTCGACTGGAAATTGAGGCAGTGCCAGTGACTTAGGCCCTCCAGGCCCAAGGGGACCTTTCCTTCACAGCATTTTTTCATCAGTCCGGGTTTAGGGCGCAAGCTTTCCAGCAGGGCCACTCAGAACTCAGGGGTTTATATTGCATGGCAGTAGCGGTTCTTGGGAGAAACACTTTCTTGTTAACTCCCCAGCCAGCTTTATCTGGGTCTGGCCTCTGGCCTGATGATTTTCACTTTTCCAGTAGCCATGGGCTGCATATTCTTCACCTGGGGACCCAGGGGTGAAGGAAGGCTCTGAAATGGCAGGCACTGTCTGCTGCAGGGGCAGGTTCTCCAGGAAAGGGGCCGCAGGCTCTGTCTGATTCCCCAGCCCTCCCCTAGGCAAGCTCCCGACGGGGTCAGGAGGCTGGAGGCAGTGGGGCTAGCAGGGATGGGGCAGTGGCCTCTTGCCTCTTCCTCTCTTCTTCCAGTGGAGCGAGGCCGGGGCAGGCGGGCCTTTCCTAAATCTGGAGGGTGGGAGAGGCAGCTGGTTGGTAGGAGAGTGGCTGGGGAAGGGGGCTGACTCTGGGGTGGAAGGTGTCCTGTGGGAGTCCGGTGGGTAGGAAGTACCTCTGATGGGTCCCTGCAGCACCCTGTCGAAACCACCCTTGTGCTTTCTTCACTTGTGTTCCCAGGGTGCGCTTTGTGCTGGGAGTGGGGGCGGTGCCACAGCTCAAGGGCGTCTGTGAAGACAAGTTAGCACAAGAACTAGTGGGACATGGCAGGGGTCTCCCGGGCAGTGCCACGGGTGCACAAAGGTCACCAGCCAGCAGGAAGCCTGGCTCCCAGGGGACTGAGAGATGCCTGGGGAGGGTTGATGGTGGGAGGGGCACTGCCCTGGCCCCATCCAAGGAGGAGGCACGGCCCCAATGTCTACAGGAAACACATGTGAATGCATTTCAAACATTTGGGAAAAGCCCAGAAGAAGCACATTTATAGGACCAAGCACCAAGTCCAGCATTTCTTTGTGTGGAGTTTTTTTAAGGTGGGTCCCCTACCCCACTTAAGGGGCAGCACAAGAGACACCTTTAATCCTCTCAGTGACCTGCACCTACTTCCCTACAGGCTGTGGCCTGGCGCCAGTGGCCACGCTGACCAGAATCGTGGGCGGCAGTGCCGCGGGCCTTGGGGAGTGGCCTTGGCAGGTGAGCTTATGGCTGCGGCGCAGGGAGCACCGCTGCGGGGCCGTGCTGGTGGCGGAGAGGTGGCTGCTGTCTGCTGCGCACTGTTTTGACGTGTGAGTCCGGCCCGCCCCGTCCCGTCCCCTGCCCTTCGGTGGTTCACCAGGATGCTGTGGCCCCCAAACTTACTGTCATGCTTCCAAGCCTTTGCCTGGAATGCCCCCACTCCCCACAGCTGGGACCCACTGCCACCCCTACTCTGTGTACCCACACACCGCATGGGGCTGCAGGGGCCCAGTCCACCGCCCTCCTGGCCTCCCTAATCCCTGGGAACCACAGCCTCTCCCAGCCCAGGGCCAGGCTTGCTGTTGACATGGGGTCTGCATCCCCCAAAGGCTACACACCGGGGAGCTCCCTTGATGGCAGGCTGCTCAGTAGGGTGGACCAGGCCAGGGGTCCTGCTGTCCCAGATGCCCAGAGATGTTCTTGGGTGTGTGGCGTCAGAGGGAATGGGCAAGCGGGACAGGGAGCCTTCTGGGCACCAGGGCCCTGATATTGGGCAAAAATTGGGATATTTTGTGACATCACCTCATTGCCCTGGGCACATTTCCGGCATAGGCACACCCTCTTCACTGTCCTACGAGGAAAGAATTGCTCAACCCCATTTCCAAAGGAGTCACCCAGGACCCAAAGAGGTCAAATGCCCTGCCCAAGGTCCCTGGCTGACCCCCTGGGGCACAGGGAAGGACGTGGCCATAACTCCACGGGGCAGAGTGCAGAGGAGCCCCAGGGGGAGTGGTAACAGAGCGCAGGGGTCCAGGCCAATGCCTGTCCCCACGTGCCCCGCAGCTACGGGGACCCCAAGCAGTGGGTGGCCTTCCTGGGCACACCATTCCTGAGTGGTGCCGATGGGCAGCTGGAGCGCGTGGCTCGCATCTACAAGCACCCCTTCTACAACCTCTACACGCTCGACTATGACGTGGCGCTGCTGGAGTTGGTGGGGCCGGTGCACCGCAGCCGCCTGGTACGGCCCATCTGCCTGCCTGAGCCTACTCCCCGGACCCCTGATGGGGCCCGCTGCGTCATCACCGGCTGGGGGTCGGTGCGCGAGGGAGGTAGGCGAGTCCTGTAGGTGAAACCAGACCCCGCACTCGGAGTTAGTGGCCCACGGGGATCAGGAAGGCCTCCGGCCCAGTCCCATGTGGCTCCACCATCCGTCCGGCCCGCAGGTTCCATGGCGCGACAGCTGCAGAAGGCGGCAGTGCGCCTGCTCAGTGAGCAGGCCTGCCGCCGGTACTACCCGGTGCAGATAAGCAGCCGCATGCTGTGCGCTGGCTTCCCGCAGGGTGGCGTGGACAGCTGTTCGGTGAGCGCAACTTAAAATTGAAATGAAGGCTATGCCAGGTACCAGGTCCCATCCATCTGGGGAGGGGGTCAGGATTCTCTTCGGTCTAAAGCCCAATCAGGGCCCCTTCCATGGTGCAAATTTAAGCTGATCAAACAGGAAACCTTTTTCGCCTCAGAGGTTGCAGTGGACCACCACTTATCAGGGATCCATTGCCAGCCAGCGCTCCTCCCACCACATCCTCACCATGGCGCTACAGGGGAGGGACAGGGACAGGCTGCGGTGAGGCCCCATTCTGCTAGGGAACCTCAGCGGCAGGTGTCCACGAACGTCTATCAGCCGGACCAGGGGCTTGTCCTAGCACTGAGCCTGCTTCTGAGATAAAAACGGTGAATCTCATAGGGGCAGCCATCCACTTAAGGTCACACAGGGAACCCAGGCGACATTCCTGTGGTTGCTAGTCACCAGCATGTACAGATCAGGTCAGTCCTTCCTTGGCCTCAGGGCTACTACTGGGGAGATGCTGGTCTGTGCTGAGCACCTTTCCTCTCTCCTCCCCTTAGGGTGATGCTGGGGGACCCCTGGCCTGCAGGGAGCCATCTGGCCGGTGGGTGCTAACTGGGGTCACCAGCTGGGGCTACGGCTGTGGGCGGCCCCACTTCCCAGGCGTCTATACCCGGGTGACTGCCGTGAGAGGCTGGATCACACAGAACATCCAGGAGTGACACCCCATGGCTGCCCAGGCCTGGAAGGAGAGTTGTGAAGGCAGGAGGAACCAATCAGCCACCAGGCAGCCACCAGCTCAAGAAGGGGAGTCCAGTCCGGGTGGTGGGTGGCGGTGCTACGGGTAGCAGAGTACAGTTTTTACTGTATATTTTCTTCCAATAAAAAGCCCCTTGTCCCTAGCCTACTGGCTCAGCACCTCCACGTTAGAGCAGAACAACCTGCCTGCCCATCACCCAGGTCCCAGAGATGGGATGAAGGATGTGTGGGGAGCAAGGCCTCCCAGGAAGAGGGCAGCCCCCCACCACCCTACCCCAGCCCTTGGGGCTGGGATTTCAGCCTCATCCTCAAGGCTCCCTTTTGTGAACATTCTTGTCATCCAGGGAACCCAGTAGCAAGTACCAAGAGGAAAAATGGGGGTAAAGGCAGAGACTGAGGCTCAGTCTAGGCAGGGGACTCAAGCACCCCAAAGCCCTCCCTTGCAGGGAAGACACAAAGGGCTCTCTCTAGCCCTCCTTCATTAATTTATTTGTCAGCCCACCCCCAGAGGGTCACAGCTCAGGTGAGACCTAATAATACCCACCCTACCCCCCAGGTCCACAGGAAAATTCTATGGCCAGGGATTGAGGATGACCCAGGGGAGATGCCACTGGGCTACCAGCACTTTGGAAAGGTCCAGAGCCCCCAAGTCCCCAACTACACTCGCTGGCAGGAGGTGGGTTGGACTCAGGGGGGGCGGGTAAAAATCCCCAGTGTCCCAGCACCAGTCTCATCCTCATAAACAAGGGGCAGGCAGCACGCACACGCCGGCCCCCACCTCACAAAGCACATTTATGGAAATCGAACACGGGTGGGGTTGGCCCGCTGGCTCAGCCAGGCTCAGATAATCCTGGTCACATGTTGGCTCGTTCTCGCTGCAGCCGCGAGTTGTAGGCGCGGGATACGGTGTTCCAGGCATCCATGTAGCGATCCATGCACATGGCGATGCATTTCTGCAGGTGGAGAGGGCACACAACTCAGCTCAGGGCCCACACAGACACACACCGGACACACACAGACTCACCCCCCCACCCCCCGGGGCAGCAGACTTGCGCACGCGCAGCAGTCCCACCGCGCCGCCCTGTTAGTCTGTGCATGCGCAGAGACCCCTCACCGGTCCCCACTAGCGACCCACCCAGACCCCAAGGGTCTCACCTGCTCCGAATTGTCCAGGGAGCCCCCGGGCTTCCCGATGCACTTCCGGAAGCACTTGTCCGTCATCCTCTGTGGGGATATGCGAACCCTCAGCCGCGACACCCGCCCCTTGGCGGACCCCGCCGCCCTCGGCCCCCGGCCCGACTCCGGACCTGCAGCAGTTCCTGCGCGTTGGCCACAGCGATCTGCACCTTCACCTGCTCCATGATGAGCCCTGGGTCCAGCTTGCCGCCGCCCGAGCCCCCGAAATCAGAGCCGAAGCCATCCTCCATAGCTCCGCAAAGTTAACCAGCCGAGACCGAGACCGCGTGCGCCGACCCGTACCTGCGCCGGAAGTCAACCCCTCAAGGCTCCACGGGAAATGGAGTCTGGACGTGCTGGAGGCGGGACAATGGGCGCACCACCCACAATCGCCATTACATCGGGATCTGATACCCCATGTTCAGTTTCCAGGATCTCGACTGTGGAGGGAGCTGTCAGCTTCTGCCTGCTGCAGGGCAAGGTTAGGAAGTGGCCTGTCTGCACCTGCCAGTGGGTCTTTTTTTTTTTTTTTAAGTGTTTGTGGGTCTTAAACACTTCTCAACCTGGAGAAGGAATATACTTTCAAGGACTCCTTGTGCTTAGAGTTCATAACCAGTGTAGCAGCGATTGCTTACAGGGTCCACTCACCCACATTACATTTTAGAGAAACGCTGTGGAGTGAGCTCCCAGCCTTGTTGACACTATTAGGAATGTCCCAACCCCCCCCCCCCCGCCGCCCATTTGCTTTCCTCCACCCAGCCCCTGCCTCACTCACCCCACCCTTCCCTCTGGCCATCACCACACTGTCTGAGTCCTGTGGGTTATGTATATATGTTCTTTGGCTGATCCCTTCACCTACTTTCATCCACTCCCCCCTCAGCTCCCTTGTGACAGCTGTTAGTCTGTTCTTTGTATCTATGCCTCTGTTTCTATTTTGTTCATTAGTTTATTTTGTTCGTTATATTTCCCATGTGAGATCATATGGTACTTGTCTTTCTCCTACTGGCTTATTTCACTTAGCGTAATAACCTCCAGGTCAATCCATGCTGTTGCAAAAGGTAAGATTTTCTTTCTTATGGCTACATAGTATTCCATTGTGTAAATGTACCCCAGCTTTTTTATCCACTCATTTACTGATGGGCATTTGGGCCGCTTCCAGACCTTAGCTACTGGGAGCATAGGAGTGTATACATTGTTGAATTGGTGTTTGGGATTCTTACAATATGTTCCCAGGAATGAGACTGCTGAGACAAAAAGCAGTTCGGTTTTTAATTTGTTCAGGAAACGCCATGTTTTCCATTGTGGCTGCACCAGTCTGCATCCCTACCTACCAACAGTGTACAAGGTTTCCCTTCTGTCTACATCCTCAGCAGCACTTGTTTGTTGATTTGTTAATGATGGCCATTCTGGCAGCTGTGAGCTGCTACTCATTGTGGTTTTAATTTGCATCTCCTTGATTAGTGACCTTGAGCCTCATTTGCATCTTTACTAATCTGTCAGAATGCATGGAGCCAACCCTGGTATATGGGACAATCAAACTGCAAATTTGGAGTCCTCTTGCATATGAGTGGACCAGTTGGGGACCAGAAGTGGGTACTCTCCTCTGTATAAGCCAGCCTCAGCGCTCACTGCCTGAACAGTGGCTGTATTTCTTCAGTTTGCAAACTGAGCTGTAACACCTGATCCCCTTTGGAACCCCTGCTTTGATTAAGCTGTTTCTCACCTGAGCTGGCCCATAATTGAGCTCACATTAACAGGCACTTGTAAAGATGTTTTCCTAAGGAGGGATACACGTGAGGATGCTCACCTTATGGGCATCGAGGGAGAACACCACCCATAAGGAGTAGTACAAAATGGGTAACACGTGCTGTATTGGCTGGAGCATTATCCCAGTGTGCCAGGTTGCGGGTTTGTTCCCGGTCAGGTTACGTACAGGCAGCAGCCAACAAATGCATCAGTAAGTGGAACAACAACACATTGATCGTTCTCTTCCTCTCTCTCTCTCTCTCCAAAAATCAGTAATAAAAAAAATGTATATTCTGCTGCTTTGGTATAAAATGCTCTAAAAATATCAAATCCATTTGGTCTAATGTATCATTTAAGGCCACTGTTTCCTTGTTGATTGTCTGGGTGACCTATCCACTGATGACAACGGGGTGTCACTGTCCCCTACAGTCACTTCATTACTGTTGATCACTCCCTTTGTGACCGTCAGTGCTTGCTTTATACACTTAGGTGCTCCTACATTGGGTGCATAAATGTGTACAAGGGTTAGAGCCTCTTGTTGGATCAATCCCTTTATCATTATGGAATGGCCTTCTTTGTTTCTTGTTAAAACCTTTGTTTTAAAGGTCTTGTCTGATATAAATGTCACCGCAGCTATACCCTTTCTCTTCCCTTTCAGCCTGCGCATCTTTCCATCTGAGGTGGATCTCACAGGCAGCGTGTGCGTGGTCTTCTTTCTTATCCACTCAGCCACGCTGTGTCCTCTTTTTTCTTAAGATTTTTTAGAGAGGGGGGGAGGGAGGGAAACATTGATGGGCTGCCCACCCTCCCCACATGTGCCACAACTGGGACCGAACCCTCAACCCAGGCATGTGCCCTGACCAGGAACCAAATCGGTGACCCTTTGCTTTGTGGGACGATGACCAACCAACTGAGCCACATCAGTCAGGTCCACCCTATCTTTTGATTGAGTCACTTAAAACATTTACATTCATTCAGCCCTGGCTGGTGTAGCTCAGTTGGTGGAGCATCGTCCTGTCACCAAAGGATTGCGAGTTCAATTCCTGATCAGGGCACACAGTTAGGCTGCAGTTCAGTCCCCTGGTCGAGGCGCCCATGAGCTCTGGCCTGGGCGCTCCAGGAGGCAGCCAGTCGTGTTTCTCTCTCGCTTTCTCTCTGAAAAAGGCAATGGACCTCAAGGTGAGGATTCAAAACCAAATTACACTTAAAATCAATTATTGATAGGTATGTAGTTACTGCCATTTTACTATTTATAATCATTTATTTATTTATTTTTTTAAATTGATTATGCTGTTACAGTTGTTCTATTCCCCCCTTCATTCCCCTCCACCCTGCCCCCCCATCCCCACCATTACCCCCCTTTAGTTTATGTCCATGTGTCTCAAGTCCTTTAGGTTCTATATTTCCCATGCTATTCTTGCCCCCCCATCTATTTTCTATCTACTGTCTATGCTACTTATTTTCTGTACCTTCTCCCCCCATCTCCTCCTCCCACTCCCCTGTTGCTAACCCTCCTTGAGATCTTCATTTCTATGTTTCCACTCCTGATCTAGCTGTCCTTTTAGTTTGCTTTCGTTTTAGGTGTGGTTGTTAATAACTGTGAGCTTGTTGTTCTTTCACTGTTCATGTTTCTTTAACTTCTTTTTCTTAGATACGTCCCTTTAACATTTCATATAATAAGGGCTTGGTGATGATGAACTCCTTGAATTTGATCTTATCTGAGAAGCACCTTATCTGTCCTTCCATTATAAATGAAAGTTTTGCTGGATAGAGCAATCTTGGTTGTAGGTCTTTAGATTTCATGACTTGGAATATTTCTTTCCAGCCCCTTCTTGCCTGTAAGGTCTCTTTTGAGAAATCTGCTGACAGTCTGATGGGGACTCCTTTGTAGGTGATTGACCCCTTAGCTCTTGCTGCTTCTAGGATTCTCTCCTTCATTTTAATTTTGGCTAATGTAATTATGATATGCCTTGGTGTGTTTCTTCTTGAGTCCAACTTTTTTGGTACTCTCTGAGCTTCTTGGATTTCTTGGAAGTCTATTTCCTTTGCCAGATTGGGGAAATTTTCTTTTATTATTTGTTCAAATAAGTTTTCCACTGGTGGCTGTTCCTTTCCCCCTTCTGGTACCCCTATAATTCGGATATTGGAGCGTTTAAAGATGTCCTGGAGGTTCCTAAGTCTCTCCTCATTTCTTTGAATTCTTGCTCCTTGACTCTTTTCTGTTTGGCCATTATTTGCTTTCTTCTGGTCCACTCCATTGATTTGAGACCCAGTTTCCTTTTCAACGCTATGGGTTTCCTGTGGAATTCCATTCATTTCCATTAGTTTAGCCTTCATATGTTTCTCTAATTTGTGGCTATAATCAACCAGATCTGTGAGGATCCTGATGACCAGTGTTTTAAACTGTGCGTCTGAGAGTTTTGCTATTTCTTCGTCGCTTAGATTTATCTCTGGGGCTTTGAGGTCTTCCTGCGACATTTTTGGTCTGTTCTGGCCCTTTAAATGTGAGAAGCGGCGCCTTGGACTCCCAGGTCGCTGGGTTGTGACGCTGTATGTGGGGGCGTGGTCAGAGCGGGGAAATGGCGGGGCCCTCTACCGCCGCTTGCCGCAGGGACGCTGGGCCCCGGTCCAACCGCCCACTCCCTCGCCTGTCCGCTCGCCCGCAAATAGGCGACCCCAGTCAACACGCAGCACCGCCTCCCCACTGTCTCCTCTGCAGTCGCTCACCCGGTGGGTTGATCGGTCGCTCACTAGGTCCAATCCTGCGTTTGGAACCCGTGCGTCTGGATTCCGCGCCTGGGTCCGACTCAGTCCTCCTTTGCAACCCCTCACGAGACGCCGGTTTCGCCCCTTACCGGTCGGGCTGAAGAATTTGTTGTTAATGGACTTCCGAAAAGTTCAATTTTCCGTGTTCTGGTTGTGTTTTCTGATGCTAATATTTAGTTGTCCCTAAACTTGGTTGTGTGAGAAGGCACGGCACATCCACCTATACCTCCATCTTGGCGGAAGTCTATTTATAATCATTTTTTTCCTTCCTAAAGAAGTCCTCCTAACATTTCTTATAATACTGAGATGCACTCCTTTAGATTTTTCTGTTTTAATAATTTTTTACTTTGTAATTATAGTTGACTCATTATAGTATTATATTAGTTTCAGGCATATAGCATAGTGGCTAGACATTTATATAATGTCTGAAGTGACCCCCCTGATACGTCTAGTACCCATGTGACACCATACGTAGCTTTTTCTTGTCTGGAAAGCTCTTTGTCTCTCCTTTGATTCTAAATGATCACGTGTTGAGTAGGGTGATACTCATTGTAGGTCCTTATTTTTCATCCCTTTGAATATTTAGTGCCAGTCCCTTCTAGCCTGCAAAGTTTCTGTTGAGAAGGCAGCTGACAGTCCTATGGGAGTCTTGTAGGTAATTAACTGCTTTTCTCTTGCTGCTTCTAAAATTCTCTGTCTTGCCCTGGCTGGTGTGGCTCAGTGGATTGAGTGCTGGCCTGGGAACCAAAAGGTAGCCAGTTGAATCCCCAGTCAGGGCACATGCCCGGGTTGTGGGCCAGGTCCCCATTTGGGGATGCATGAGAGGCAACCACACACTGATGTTTCTCTCCCTCCCTTCCCTTCACTCTAAAAATAAATAATATCTTTTTTAAAAAAGATTCTCTGTCTTTAAGCTTTAACATTTTAATTATGATATGTCTTGGTGTGGGCCTCTCTTGGCTTTTCGTGCTTGGGACTCTGCATTTCCTTGACTTATATATCTATTTCCTTTGCCAGGTTAGGGAAGTTTTCATTCATTATTTCTTCAAAGAGGTTTTCATTCCTTTGCTGTCTCTCTTCCTCTGATACCCCAGTGATGTGAATGTTGGTACTTTCTTTTTTTTTTTTTTTTAGATTTTATTTATTTATCTTTAGAGGGGAAGAGGGGAAGGAGAGAGGGAGAGAAACATCAGTGTGTGGTTGCCTTTTGTGCGTCCCCTGCTGGGAACTGGCCTGCAACCCAGGCATGTGCCCTGACTGGGAATCGAATCTCGATCGTGTGGTTCACAGGCCCGCACTCAATCCACTGAGCTACACCAGCCAGGGCCTGAATGTTGGTACTTTCCATGTTATCCCAGAGGCGTGAAGGACTAGCCTACCCTTGTTTTTTAAATATTCTTTTTTTTGGCTATTCCAATTGGGTGTTTTCTGCAACCTTGTCTTCCAAATTGCTGATTCAGCTTCTGCTTCATCTGATCTGCTGTCATTCCTTCTAATGTAGTCTTCACTTCAGTTATTCTATTTTTCACTTCTGAGTGGGATTTTT